CACCCACAGGGGCTGCCGGAACCGGCATCCGCCCCGTGCTCGGCCCAATACCCACCCACAGGGGCTGCCGGAACCGGCATCCGCCCCGTGCTCGCCCCAATACCCACCCACAGGGGCTGCCGGAACCGGCATCCGCCCCGTGCTCGCCCCAATACCCACCCACAGGGGCTGCCGGAACCGGCATCCGCCCCGTGCTCGCCCCAATACCCACCCACAGGGGCTGCCGGAACCGGCATCCGCCCCGTGCTCGCCCCAATACCCACCCACAGGGGCTGCCGGAACCGGCATCCGCCCCGTGCTCGCCCCAATACCCACCCACAGGGGCTGCCGGAACCGGCATCCGCCCCGTGCTCGCCCCAATACCCACCCACAGGGGCTTCCGGAACCGGCATCCGCCCCGTGCTCGCCCCAATACCCACCCACAGGGGCTGCCGGAACCCCCACCACCTTACTTTCCCCCGCCCCACGATTCTTCCTGCCTCTCCCCCGATTCCCCCTCCGCCCAATACCCACCCACGGGGGTTGCGGGTACCGGCACCTGCCCCGCGCGCGCGTCCACCGCGGCGGCTCCCCGTTGGGTCCGCGCATCTCTTTTGTACGGCGCTGTGCCGTGCGCGTCGCGCAGTCCTCAAGGTGCGGCGGGGGGGGAACGTTCGGGGGGAGGGCGATGCGCGACGGGGGAAGGACGGAGCCCGCTGCCAGACCGTAAGCGTCGGTCCATGCCTAGGGGAAATTGAGAAGGGGAAAAGAGGGAAGGGGGAAGGAGGAAAAAGGAGGGGCGGGAAGGGACGACCGGGTAGCTTAAACGAGGCGCGTCGGGGGAAGGACGAAGCCCACCGCCAGACCGTAAGCGTCGGTCCACGCCTGGGGGAAAGGAGGAAGAGGGGGGAGGGGGAAAAGGGAGGGGGAGGGGGGGGGAGGGGCGACTGGGATATTGAAGAAGGCTCACTGGCCAAACTGTGAGCACCTGTCCATGCCTGTTTTAGCAGCGATGCGGGAGTGAAGGGCGAAATAATCCTGTTTTAGCAGTTACTAGTTTGGAGTGTGGTGAAGGCTAGATGATCACAAATTTGTAAACGTGTCTTTTGGGCCGATTCGAAAGTCGTCTCTTTGTTCTGTCACCTCCCTGAGAGTAACGTATCAGTCAACGGATTTGGCGTGTCGGCCGAAGAACGTTAAAATAAACTTGTTCAGTCCCGATACATTGCAAGAGCGAGCGAGAGCGTGTCACGTTGTACCCGATATAGAGCGAGCGCCCGCTCAAGGCTGATTCCGCCGCCCCGCCCGTCCCCCGCTTTATGCCGATGGCTCTGGAGTTGCGCCGAGTCGCCCCACAGTCTTATGCCACGTGGCGCCGCCACCGCTTTTTGCCAAAGATTCAGCGCCGAGAAGATAAAAAGGACTGCAAAGAATCTATGCCAAATCGTGTATCGCCAAAACGGTACATGATTCGCTGATGAAGCTTGGATCATGATGGCTCGCGACCTTCCCGCCAGAATCTCTGGCAACGAATACGATCACGGTCAATCACATTCACCAACCATCTCGTGTAAGATAACAGCGAGGTGGTTACCACGAGAAAACAGGAATTCGATGTGACTGGCGAGTTTCCACGAGCAAAAGAACAGGCATTCTGTTCCACTCCTACAAGTCCGAACCTGAACCATGCCACCTCCAGCCCTGCCCATGAATGTCTCGCGTCGCGTGTTTCAGTTTCTTTCGATTCTGTTTAGGGAAAAGGAATGTTGCGAAAGTAGTGACGAGATTGACGAACCGGAACACAAGCCTCACGAAAAAATTGACGAACTACAACGAGCAATTTTCTGTTACCTTAGTCCCGCCTAGTTCGTTCCGCCTGTCACACCTGTGGCTCCGCCTGCCACCACCAGCCCGCATCGCGTGCCTGACATTCTGTCACATTTCGCCCCCGAGTTTCGCAGCAACCAGAGCTTCTGGTTGCCCACACCATGACAACTCTGCGCCAATAACGAAGCATGCACTTTGGGGAATTCATAAGCGGCATAAATATCTTGTTTCTCGAATTAGCAAATGAAGTGAAGTGGAGGGATGGGTGGGAGACAGGCCTCTGGATAGGATTTGAGTTGGTCTTTCCCATAAGGCCAACATCCTAGTTTCACTCTTTCAATCAGGGTACAAATTCAGAACACACTTATAAATCAGGGTGGAACTTTAAATAAGTTGTCAATGAGTTTTTTACAAGATAGTTAACTCGTGTTATGGTGTCCAGTTGTGTAGGAGTGATAACTTGTTGTGAGCACGTGGGTACAAAACCCGCCGCAGGCGCTCGCCAACACTCTTTTCGCGTGGAATTCTGACAGACTAGGTAAGAACTAGATCAGAACCGTCAGTGTATCTACATGGAGTTGTTCAACAGCACTCTGAAATATCAGTGTCGTAAATCTAAACACTTTTTCTTGTAAGGGTCAATGGAAAAGCCACTCTGGTAAAAAAGGGTGCATAAGAAAACCCACCCTTATAGTGTCATAAGGGTGAATCACCCTTATATCAAGAGGCCTGGTGGGAGATGCTGAAATCTGTAGTGCATGACTGTGGTGTCTATCATTGCAGAATAACCTTTGAAAGATAATGCATAGATTCGACCATATCAATTGGACTGCCCGGGGACACCAACAACCTGGTTCTTCCTCATCTCCCAATACCGCCACCTTATCTTATCCACCTTTTGCAGCTTCTCACACAATGCTACAGCTGCATCCGTGCATGAGATAGCAGCACTATCACCAGCACCATCCTGGCTCAACCCTAACACCTTACCCACTTTATCAGACATGCAACCCCGACCAAGCACTGACAGCAGAGTCGCTAACGCATGAACACACTCCGGCTCACTTGCCAGCACATCCATGCAGATTCCAAGAAGCCTCAGATCCCCTTCCTTACCCACACCTTCTGCTTCTTTTTCCAGCAGGCGAATCAGCCCTTGGAGATACCGCCAAGGGCTCTCATTGGACGGAGCAAGCCAGATGGCGGTCACTGCAAACGTCACCTCATCCTCCACTGTTACTGGTGTAACCCTAATTTCGGAATCCTTCTCCTGATTGGCTCCTCCTCCCACATGTTCTGCTCCCTGCTTCTGCTTCGCTATAAGATGCTCCAGTACAAACATTCTGTGGTTCCATGCTGAGTTGTTGCGCACATCATCATCCAACAGCTTCTCACAGAACGTCAGCTCACCATGCCACGTGTCAAATTCCCTCGCCACCCACTGCCTGTGACACCACGCGTGGTAGTTCTTTGAATCTCCCCGCAACGCCTCCTCACAGAAGCGGAATTCCTCCTGCGCGACCTCAGTTATCGACCGTAACGGAACTTGCTGTAACGGGGACGGTGAGTTTGAAACGCATTCTTGCTCCTGCTGCTGCTGCTGCTGCTGCTGCTGGTGCTGTTCCATCTGTTCCTGGCGTCTGGTAACCCTATCTTTGCGAAGAGAAGCCAACCACCGGCGATGGTGCCACACCTGATAATTTTTGGGATTCGATAGAGTCACATTTTCGGCGTAAAGTACCTCATCCTGAACCAGCCAATCCCCTTCATCCCCTCGATTCTCATCCGCTGACGTGGACGAGGGCTTCGATGTCGTGGCCTCCGGTTCCGCTAACGACAGCAGATGCGTGAGAACGTCTCGACGGAGCTGCCAGGCGGTGTAGCTAGCGGCGTTGACGGAGATAACGCGCTCCGTCAAGCGCAAGACGCGCGCGCTGCGCTCGCCGGACGCGAGAACGGCGCGCATGAAGCCCATGGCGTCGTCGAACTCGCGCGAATACGCGATCGGCACGACGGGATCCGGACCGTCGTCCTGCGGTAATGGCTCCACGTCAGCCCAGTCGTCGCTGTCCCTCAGAAGCTCCATGTCGATTCGAATCTCGATTTCTCAGTTATTGATTCGCGAATCGCGACACGGCTCGATCGAGTGGGGTTAAAGCGCGCCTAACCAGCGGGACCGGCAATCAAACACTCGCGAAAGTAGAATAACGGACGTAGGCCTCGGTCTTCTTAGACGACAGAAACATGGATGTCTAAGAAGATACAAGCCAGCTGGCTTGTCTTGCTTGGTGTGCAGGGTACAGTCGATGCTCAGCCTATCATAAAACATTTGCTTCCCACAATGAAAAATTTAGTCACTCGCGAACGTTTTGCCCGTGAGTGACTAAATTGACCATCGTGCCGATTTCGGGGTACAGTCACCAATTGCGGAAGGAAAACATCTACAGTTCATAAACAACAACGGTTGCCTGTCATAAGAAAAGTTTACCTGGTTATGAAAGTAAAGCCCTTGACTCAATTCACAATGCAATTTCATATTACAGTCACATTTTTGCCCGTGGCGACAAGGGCGAACGTTGCGAACTGCACAAAACACGTTTCACTCACATGCCGCCCGCCTACCTGGTGTTCTTGAACTGAGCACCGACTGTAATATCGGTTTCTACCCAGGCGCTTTGTTGGATGTATATTGTACCTCGTACGCGCTACGAACAGTGTTACAAAGAAGAGTCTGAATGAAGGCACATGGCTAGACACCATTACAAAACTGAGCGTTTCCACTAACTTTCCGAATTAATTAAGCATATGAATAGCACAGAAACCTGCTCAACAAGCTGAGCAGATGATACCCTTATGGAGGACACTAATCCAGACAGTACAATCCAATCAGCCGATTCATAATGCTATGAATACACGTACTCTCCCACACAGTCTGAAGGGACTCTTCCTTCCTTTCCACCAAAACAAACACAGCTGAAGCCTTCTTTCTTGAAACATCAGCTCCTCGAAAGTTCCTCATCCATCAGGGATAAAAGGCTTCTCGAGTTTCAGTCAACAAAGCTACTCTTTTGATATCAACATGTGATTCCTCCCCTGTAGCATGGCGTCTCCTCCTCCTCACGTCCCGTCACTTGAACCTGCCACAGTTGCCGGAGGGAATCGCTTGCTCCTTCCCTCTCAGCTTTAGCAAGCCATCAACCTTGTGAAGGGTCCGCCACGTGCCCCGCCAGGTGCATCTGACTGTCACCATGAGTCTCGGCATGCTGGGTCCTCCTCCTCCTCACACCCGCCCACTTGGGACTCCCACTGTCACCTGTGGGACTGCCTAGCTCCTCCCCTCTCCCCATTTCCCTCCTCTCTCCCCTCTCTCTCCTCTCTATCCTCTCTCCAGCCTCAGCCCCCTCTCTACCACCCTCAGCCCTACTCACTCCCTCTCTACCGCCCTCAACCGCACTCAAACCTTCTTCACCAACCTCAACCTCTCTTACTCCCCCCCCCACTTGCACACCCTGCCCACTCACCATCAATCTTCTCCTCGTCCCAAACTCCTCTCCTCCTTCCCCACCTCCTCCTCCCACCCCCCCACCACCACCTCTTCCTACCTCTCCCCCTCCTCCCCTCCTCCGCCTCTCTCCCCCCCCACCTCCTCCTCCTATCCGTCTCCTTTTTCCTCCTTCCCCTCGTTTCCCTCTTGCTCCTCTTCCCCCTCGCCCCCTGCCCTCGTCCTCACTGGAGAAGATCCAATCCTCCCCATCATTCGCGTTCACCAGGTCTCTATAATTCCGCTCCCTCCTCTTCCTGCCGCTGCGCCTCACTCCTGTGGGCGTCCCTTCATCTGCTGATGCATCAGCATCAGCAGCAGCTGCTGGAGCAGGTGCAAAACCTGCACTAGCACGAACAGGTGAAGCAGCAGCAGGAACAGCAGTAGCAGCAGCAGCAGCAGCAGTAGCAGCAGCAGCAGCTACTGCGTCTGGAGCTGCAGCAGCAGCCGCCTCACCAACCCCGCTTCTTCTTTTCCTCGAACCCGAACCCGAAGGAGGGGAGGAAACAACTGAACGTGCCGCTTCTCCTCCCTCCCACCTCCCATTCTCACCCTCCTGCTGTTGCCTACCCAGTCCCACCCTTCCTCTCCCTTCCGTCTTCCGTCCTCCTTCTGCCTTCCTCCTCCCTTCTTCCCCACTCTTTCTTTCACCCTTGCGCTTCCCTGCCTCCCCTCCTTTCCGCACACTCCTCTGTGTTCCTCTGCTCCGTGCACCTTGTGACCCCTTTTTGCTCTTCCTTCTCTTGCCTTGAGATCCCACCACATACTCCTCTTCTTCCTCCTCTTCCTCCTCCTCTTCCTCTTCCTCTTCACCCTCCTCCTCTTCCTCCGCCACCCCGTTTTCCTCCTCTTTCTTTCCAGTCCCCTCTTCTCTCTCCTCTCCTTCTACTAGCCTCGCAGTATGCTCCTTCACCCCAGGTACCTTCTCCTTCTCTATACCAGAAGAAACAACAACACTCTTAACATGACTTTTGTCCAATTTTCCTCCCTTTTCATCCTTCCTTCTCTTCTCCTTTGCCCTTACCCTCTCGTGTCCTCTCCCCTTCTCGTCTGGTACCCTCCCTGCCATCCCTATTTCCCTCCTCTCTCTCTCTACCCTCTCCTCCTCTTCCTCATAATACACCACCTCTCCCTCCACATCCCCAATGCTGTCCTCGTTATTAGCATCACCCGTACCAGCATTAGCTTCAGGAGCACCATTAGCAGCAGCACCGTCAGCACCACCATTAGCAGCAGCGGTAGCAGCACCACCACCATCCCCACTGCTAGCACCAGTACTACCACCATCACTTTTACCACCACCAGCACTTAGGCCACCACCAGCACTGGTTTCCCTACTCTCAACACCATTGGCCTCAATATTCGCACCCTCAACTTCCACACCCTTTGATTTCCCTGTTTCGCCTCTCCTCTTTGCTCTAGAACCGATTTGCCCACCCCTCTTGTCACCGGTTGTTAATTCCTGCCCTGCCACTTCTTTCACCTGCCCTTCCTCTGCTTTCACCTGCCCAGGCTCTCCTTTCCCCTGCCCGTTCCCTTCCTCCATACCTCCTTCCCCAACCCCTTCCTCCCGCCTCTCCTCCTCCCCTTCCTCCTCCAAGATATCAACATAGCTCCGCTTTTTCTTCGGTCTGTGCCTGATAAGCAGCAATGGGAAGAAGAGGGAGATGAAGGGGTTGAAACGGAGTAGAATTTTGAGGCGCCTCAAGGCTCCGCTTTTTCTTTGGTCGGTGCCTGATAAGCACCAATGGGACGGAGTGGAAAGGGATGAGAGGACGTAAGATATCAGCGTAACTCCGCCTAACCTTCCGCCAGTGCTTGGCAGGCAGCAGCAATGGGAAGGAGCGGGAGTGAAACGAGGTAAAACAACTCAAACTCGACCGCGTTGCATCGCATCAGGCATCTCTTTCTCCCCGTCCTCCTCCAAAAATTCGGCACAGTTCCGCCTTTTCTTGAGCCGGCGCCTGATAGGCAGCAATGGGAGGAGTGGGAAGAGATGAAAGGGCGCAGAAGGGTGTTGAAAGGTTGTGAAAAGGAATTAAAAGACACCCACCTGAGCAACCGCAAGGGCTGGATATCCGAGGCCAACCCAGGCTTCACTCTGTCACACTTGCCACTCTCCACTCCTCTGTTTGCTGTACGCACTCCTTCAAATCTGAGGGGCAGCACGTGAGGAGAGAGGAGAGCCCACCTGAGCAACCGCAAGGGCAGGATATCGGAGGCCAACCCAGCCTTCACTCTGTCAGACCTGTCCCGCTCCCCCCCTCCTCGCCCGTTCGCTGCATGCACTCCTTCAGCCTTCCCCTCCTTCCCCTCTTTCTTCTCTTTCTTCTCCTTCTTTCCCTTCTTCTCCTTCTTCTCCCTCCCCTCCCTCCCCTCTCTCCCCTCCTTCCTTCGCAAACTTCCACGGGTATCCCGCTTCACCCCTCCCAATCCCTTCCTACTCCCTTCCTCCTCCCCTGCCTCTGCCTCCTCCTCTGCGCTCCACTCCTCTTCCCCACTCTTCCCTCCATCCTCCACGCCCCTCCCCTCCTCCCCACTCCCCTCTTCTTTAAACGATACACCATCAGGACGCCTCCCTCCCCACCTAGTCCTTGCACTCACTCTACCATCCCCCCTCACTCCACCATCCCCCCTCACTCCACCATCCCCCCTCACTCCACCACCCCCTTCCTGCATCCCCTCATTCCCACCCAATTCCCCTCCCACCACGCCACCGCCTTTTCTCCTGAGCCTTCTCCTTCCATCCCCTTCCTCTGCCACTAAGCCAGTCACAACGGATGGCTTTTGAGTCGACTCAAAAGCCACCAAGCCAGCGCCTTTTCTCCTGAGCCTTCTCTTTCCATCCCCTTCCTCTGCCTCTAATCCACTTTCATCTGCTGCCCTCCTCAATACAGCTTCAGTTTTTCTTCTCTTCTCCTTCCTTCTTCTCCCCCCACCCTCATCCACTCCCCCATCCACTCCCCCATCCGCTCCCTCCTCCATTTGTTCCCTCACGCTCGTCCCCAATCTCACTCCCTTCCCTCCGCCCGTCGCTTCTCCCTTCCTCGGCTCTCTTTGACCATCCTCGTTATAAGCGTCTTCATCACCACCACCATCCTCTTCCTGCTTCTTCTTCTCAAGCCCATACTCTTCCTCCCTCTCCCCTTCGTCCTCACCCCCCTCCTCTGCCTCCTCCGCCGTCCTTTCTCCCCTCTCTTCGTAACTCTCCACCTTCTTTCCCTCACTTTCCGCTTCTTCCCTTTCCCCTTCCTCTTGGCCCCCCCCTTCGCCCTCATCTTTCCCCAACACTCCATCCTCGTTATAATCACCCACATAGCCTCCTTTTCGCCGCTTCCTTCCCTCCCCTCCCGATCCCTTCAACCACTCATCCAATGCCCCATCCTCCTCTCGCCGTCCCTCCCTCAGTTGTCTCTTCCTTAGCCTCTGCTCCTCTCCATCCTTCCTTTCCGCCTCTGCTCTTCCCTCTCTCCCCTCCTTCCCTTCTCTGCTCTCAGTGCCACCACTCTCTCTTCTCTCCCCTTTCACCCTTAACTTCCTACCCTCTCCTTCCTCTTCTTCCCCTTCACCCCCACTCTCCCGCTCCTTGTCCCCCTCATCATACTCCTCTCCCTCCTCCCCTCCTTCTCCCCGCCCCCTCCCCTCCTCTCCTCCTTCCTCCCTCCTCTCTTTCCGTGCCCCCCCATTCTCATCACCATCACTCCCATCCCCTGTATTATCACCACTCTCGTTCCAATCACCATCACTACTATCACCATCATTACTATCACCCTCCTTACCATCGCTCTTGCCTCCCTTCTCTTCCATCTCTCCTTCCCCATAAGAACCTTCCCCACTGCACCCTACCCCCAAACCGTCTTCCTCTTCTCCTCTTTCTCCTCCCTCTTCTCCTTTCCCTTCTCTTCCTTCTTCTCTTTCCCCTTCTTCTCCTCCTCCTTTCTCTTCTCCCTTTTCTCTCTCTCCCTCCTCACCCTCTCCTCCCCTCTCTCCTCCCACACCCCCTTCCCCTCCTCCATCCCCCCCAACACCACTACCAACTGCATCGCCGCTAGCAGACAAAACGCGCCGCCCTGCCAGCTGTCGGAGGCCCTCGCGAGTGGGGGCGTGCTCGGGGGGAAGCTCACGGGATTTGGAAGGTAGTGTGATGGCATCGTTGATAGAACGATCAAAGTCGTCTGAAGGGACACAAGGGATGGGGGGAAGGGGAGAGGACGGGGAGAAAGGGGAAGAGGAATGGAAGGATCAGTTAATGGGATTTGGAAGGTAGTGTGATGGCATGGTTGGTAGAGCAATCGAAGTCGTCTGAAGGGACAGGAGAAAGAGGGGGGGGGGGGGGGGGCGAAGGAGGAGGAACGGAAGGGATTTGGAAGGTAGTGTGATGGCATTGTTAATAGAACGATCAAAGTCGTCTGAAGGGACAGAAAGGATGGGGGGAAGGGAGATGGGCGGGGGCACAGGGGAAGAGGAAAGGGAAGTGGATGGGATGGGAACGGGCAAGAGGAAGGTGGTGAAGAGACATTGTCCAGGCACAGACACGAGATACTTTGAAGTCGACTCAAAAGTCACCTCAAGAGGAAGGTGGTGAAGTGACGTTGACTAGACGACACAGTAACGAGGTTCTTGAATCAACTGATGAGATATGGGAGGTAGCGTGGCAATGGCTGCATCGTCAATAGACAAATCTCATCAGCTGATAACGCGAGACTCTGGATTCAACTCATGGACAGGCCTACCAAAGGTGTAGGTGACTGGTTTCCTCGACGTTGCAGGGAGTTTTTGAGAATTCTCAAAAACTCCCTGCATCATCAGCTGATAACACGAGACTCTGGATTCAACTCATGGACACACCTACCAAAGGTGTAGGTGACCGGCTTCCTCTCCCGTGTAGAAAGTAGATTTTTGAGACGTCTCAAAAAGACTCTGGATTCAACTCATGGACAGACCTACCGAAGGTGTAGGTGACCGGCTTTCTCTCCCGCCTCGATCGACCCAGAGCCATCCCCTCGCCGTACCCCCCTGGCGCTCAGGACAGCACCCCACAGCCATCCCCTCCCCAAACCCCCCCACAGCAATGCAAGATGCACGCACCGAAGGTGTAGGTCACGGGTTTCCTCTCCCGCCTCGATCGACCCAGAGCCAGCCCCTCGCCGTACCCCCCTGCGTACTGCCCCGCTGCTGCCATGGCTGCTGCTAGCTGCGCTGCCAGCTGCGCCGCCTGCCTCTGCTGCCTCTTCGCATGCCGCTCCTTGCGCTGTTGATAGGAGAAATAAGAGGAGAAAGAAACGAGAAGAACATGGGAGATGGCAGAAGTTGGGTTCAACAGTAGCTGCCAGCTAGGCTGCCAGCTGCGCCGCCTGCCGGGCCGGGTGTTTTTGAGAATTCTCAAAAACACCCTGCAGTAGCTGCCAGCTGCCAGTTGGGTTCAATAGTGGCTGCCAGCTGCACCGCCTGCTGCTGCTGCCTCTTCGCATGCCGCTCGCTGCGATGGTGGTGTGGGCAGAGGAGAGGTGAAGAGAAGAGAAGGTAAAACAGGGAAAGGGTTCGAGTGTGACAGTGGCTGCCACGTGAAGAAAGGAGTGTTTTGAGACGTCTCAAATCACTCCGTTTTTTAAAAACAGGGAAAGGGTTCGAGTAGGGATGAGCAAGTGGCGAACACGAACGTGTTCGTGTTCGCCCCTACACGAACACCTTCGTTTGCCGAACCGAACACTGTTCGGTTCGGCGAACACTTTGAGCAAAAAATGGTGTTCGCCGTTCGCCTGTGAAGGCGTGTTCGGGCGAACCTCGAACACTGTTCGTGTTCGTCGCGGGCAAATTGCAGCAGCGGCCCGAACACGAACGTGTTCGGGCGAACATCGAACACTGTTCGGCGAACATTTTAAGCCAAAAAAAAAAACCTGTTCGGTTCGCCTTGAACGTGTTCGAGGCGAACCGAACAGGTGTTCGTTTTTTTGCTCAACCCTAGGTTCGAGTGTGACAGTGGCTGCCACGTGAAGAAACGAGTGTTTTGAGACGTCTCAAATCACTCCGTTTTTTAAAAACAGGGAAAGGGTTCGAGTGTGACAGTGGCTGCCACGTGAAGAAAGGAGTGTTTTGAGACGTCTTAAATCACTCCGTTTTTTAAAAACAGGGAAAGGGTTCGAGTGTGACAGTGGCTGCCACGTGAAGAAAGGAGTGTTTTGAGGCGTCTCAAATCACTCCGTTTTTTAAAAACAGGGAAAGGGTTCGAGTGTGACAGTGGCTGCCACGTGAAGAAAGGAGTGTTTCGAGACGTCTCAAATCACTCCGCTTTTTTAAAACAGGGAAAGGGTTCGAGTGTGACAGTGGCTGCCAGCTGCGCCACCTGCCTCTGCTGCCTCTCGCTCCTTGCGCTGGTGGGGGTACAGAAGAGGGGTGAACGGAAGTGAAGAGAGAGGGTTTCGGGTACAAACTTAGCTGCTAGCTGCGCTGCCAGCTGCGCCGCTTGCCTCTGCTGCCTCTTCGCATGCCACTCCTTGTGCGGATGGGGGAAGGGGAGAGCAGGGAAAAAAAGAGAGAGGCGATACGAGTATGTGGCAGAAAGCAAGGAGTTGGATACAAGTGTGCCATGCATTTTCTAGGCGCCTAAAAAATTGAGACGAGACAAGTATGTAGCAGAAAGCAAGGAGTTGGATACAGCTGTGCCATGGCTACTGCCTGCTGTGCTGCCTGCCACTGCTGCCTCTTTGCATGCTGCTCCTTGTGCTGGTGTGAGGAGGCATGAAAGGAGAGGGAGAGGGAAGAGGGAGGTGAGTGTTGAAATAACATTAGCATGTGATTGAAAATGAGTGAGAGTGAGAGTGACAGTGAGAGTGCGCGGGTGAAAGAACAATCCCGTCCCTCCCTCCTCACCTTCTCTTCTAGCTCCACTTTAGGTATGGCCTCCTCTGCCAAGCGATCCGCTATAAGCTGATCCGCGTTATGCACACTGGCGCTGAGGTCGTCCTGCAGATACAGGCACGCCAAGGAAGGCAGCGGGAGGGAAGAAACTCATATAAGCTGATCCGATTTTGTATTAGAAACAGGTATAAACTGATGTTCTAAGTCCAATAAGCAGTCATATCATCCAGTGAAATTGGCTTCAAGTCTGGAGTAAACTTTTGAGATGCACAAAATAAAACTCAATACAGTTAACGAAAAGCACAGCACACTCAAAGCTCCAACCAAGTACCAGCTAACTCACCGCGAGAGCAGTGAAGTCTGTGAGACACACAGCAGCAGTGGCGAACTCGCCACACACAGGTGGCAGGAACACCAGCCGGGCCAATATTGAGGTCCTTGAAAAGGGATCTCCTCAGAGTGAAGTGACTCACCGCGAGAGCAGTAAAGTCTGTGAGACACACAGCAGCAGTGGCAAACTCGCCATGCACAGGTGGCAGGAAAACTGGCCTGGCCTTCTTCTTCGCACTTAAAGGACGCAGTTCTGCAGACTCACCGCGAGAGCTGTGAAGTCTGTGAGGCAGACGGCTGCAGTGGCGAACTCGCCACACACAGGTGGCAGGAAAACTGGTTTGGCCTTCTTCTTTGCCTTCCTCCTCCCCTCCCCTCCAGCAGCAGCAGCAGCATCGGCTCCTCTCCCCTTCTTGCTGCCACCCTTGGTGGGAGTGCCCTTGGAAGCAGGCTTGGCAGCAGGCTTGGGAGCAGGTTTGGAGGCGGAAGGAGGGCGGAGACTGCCGGACCTGGTTCGCGTGCTCATGCCATGGCGAGTAGGACGGGCGCTCGAATCTGCCTTGGCAGCAGAGTCTGCCTTACCAGCAACAACCGAGGCCTTTCCAGCAGCAGCGGTGCCTGAGGGGTCTTGAGCAGGTTCAGCTGAGCCGCCTTGAGCAGGCATGCAGGGATCTGCGTCAGTTAAGTCAATCACAGCAGCATCCTTCTCCTCTTCCTCCTCCTTCGTCTCCTCCTCTCCCTCCTTCACCTCCTTCACCTCCTTCACCTCCTTCACCTCCTTCACCTCCTTCACCTCCTTCACCTCCTCCTCTTCTTCTCCCTCGTATCTTCCACGCTCTTCACCCACACCAACGCCACCTCTATTGCTCTCTTCTTCTCCTTTCACCTCCCTCTTGCCCCCCTCCCCACGCTCACAATCCTTCCTACCCGCCTCCCTGCCACCTCGCCTCCTGTAAACCCTCTCATTCTCCTTCGCTCCAGCCCCTCTCCTCACAAGCACCTTATCCTCTTCGTCTCCCTTTTTACCCTTTCCTTCCTCTTCCGCTTTTACCCCTTGCTCCTTCGCTCCTACCCCACTTTCCTCTCCTCCTCTCCCCTTCACTCCCCCCTCCTCCTCCTCAGCCTTCACCCCGACTAAAGCCTTCAATCCACCGATAGCGGCTAGGCCGCTCATAAAATCCCTATCTCCTTGCGACTCTTTACCATTTCCTCGCAAGAACTCCCTATGGTTCCCACGTGATAAACCCTTATTGTCGGGACTCCCAATAGGCGACTTTAGAATCAATTCAACACCAGTTGCACACGACTTCACATCACCCAATCTGGTTACCACACTGATCGCTGTAACGCTGTCAGCAGCAGAGACTTCGAGAGTGGAATTGGGTGGTGGTTCAGATTGTAGGGGATCGGATGCTGGTGTTGGGCTAACGGACGGCTCAGATGCTCCAGCTTTGCCAGATGGGGCCTCCTTGGCCGCTGATGCATTATCACCATCAGCAGCAGCACCGTCAGCAGCAGCAGCAGCAGCAGCTGCACCATCAGAAGCAGCAGCAGCAGTAGCAGCAGCGCTGGTAACATCAGCGCTAGTAGCAGGCTGTGTGGCAGGCACATCAGCTTCAGCACTAGCAGACACCCTTGCAATATCTGCTGTCGCTGCCTTAGCTGCCTTTTCTGCCCCTGCCACCTCTGCCACCTCTGCCGCCTTTTCTGCCTCTGCCACCACTGCCATATCTGCTACCTGTGCTACCTCTGCCACCTCTGGCCGCTCTGTTGCTGCCTCTGCTGCCCCTGCCACTTCCTCACTTCTCGGCGCACGAGGCATGAGAGCAGTGGCGACTGTGTGATCATCAGAGCTTCTGGCCGGTTGAGTGGGCTCATCAGCTTCTATTTCAGCTTCACCTTCAGCTTTAGCAGTACTATTGTCAGCAATTTTTCCAGCCCCCGCCTTTGCTCCTTCCACCATCGCTGCCACTGTCTCTGCAGGAACAATGGCGTCTGTGTGATCATCGACGCTTCTGGCCGATTGAGTAGGCTCAGCAGCTTCTGTTTCAGATTCAGCTTCCACTTTAGCAGCACTCTCGGCAGCACCTTTTGCAGCCTCCGCCTTTGCTCCTTCCACCATCACTGCCACCGCCTCTCCATTAACAGCAGCAACTTCTGTTTTAGCTTTGTCGTTACCAACACTTGTGGCAGCATCTCTTGCACTCTCTGCCTTTGCTCCTTCCACCACCAGTGCTACGGTTTCTGCAGGAGAAACAGCAGTAGAATCAGCAGCAAGTGCAGGAACAGCCGCGCTAGCAGCAACAGCAGCAGCAGCAGCAGCTTCAGCCGCTTCAGCTTCAGCAGCAGCAGCGGCTGCGGCAGCAGTGGCGGCAGCGGCGGCGGCAGCAGCATCAGCCTCTTCCTGTGTGATGAAAACGTGTGGGCCCTCTTTGAACAGCCGATGGCCCAACACAGAGTCGTTGCAAAACCTGGAGGATGGAAGTTGGGCACAAGAAAAAGCAGAGTCAGCAGCAGCATCAGCCTCTTCCTGTGTGATGAAAACGTGTGGGCCCTCTTTGAACAGCCGATGGCCCAACACAGAGTCGTTGCAAAACCTGGAGGATGGAAGTTGGGCACGAGAAAAAGCAGAGCCAGAAGCAGCATCAGCCTCTTCCTGTGTGATGAAAACGTGTAGGCCCTCTTTGAACAGCCGATGGCCCAACACAGAGTCGTTGCAAAACCTGGAGGATGGAAGTTGGGCACAAGAAAAAGCAGAGTCAGCAGCAGCATCAGCCTCTTCCTGTGTGATGAAAACGTGTGGGCCCTCTTTGAACAGCCGATGGCCCAACACAGAGTCGTTGCAAAACCTGGAGGATGGAAGTTGGGCACGAGAAAAAGCAGAGCCAGAAGCAGCATCAGCCTCTTCCTGTGTGATGAAAACGTGTAGGCCCTCTTTGAACAGCCGATGGCCCAACACAGAGTCGTTGCAAAACCTGGAGGATGGAAGTTGGGCACAAGAAAAAGCAGAGTCAGCAGCAGCATCAGCCTCTTCCTGTGTGATGAAACGTGTGGGCCCTCTTTGAACAGCCGATGGCCCAACACTGAGTCGTTGCAAAACCTGACGGCAGGGAGTTGATGGGGAGAGGGAAAAGCAGAATGGGATGGGAGTTAAGCACAAGAAAAGGCAGGAGTCAGCAGCAGCAGCGGCAGCAGCGTCAGCCTCTTCCTGTGTGATGAAAACGGGTGGACCCTCTTTGAACAGGCGATGGCCCAACACAGAGTCATTGCAAAACCTGAATGTTGACAAGTACGATTGAAATTGGGCACAACATAACACAAGAAACGAAGAGTCAGCAGCAGCAGCAGAAGCAGCAGCAGTGTCAGCCTCCTCTTGTGCGAAACGATAGAAAGGTGGGCCCGCCCACTTTGGACAGGTGGTGACCGAGTCACCCAGGACAGAATCGTTGCAGAACCCCGAATACAAGGAACCTCAACTCGCATTTTTCTATGATGGACTGCACCGCACTTCACCGCATTTCACCACGATGCACCCACCAGAACACGTGGTTGTTGGCGTCGATGCCAAACGGCTCCATGCGAATCTCCTCGGGATTCCTTTTCATGGCCGCCTCTACCACCACTCGCGTGTCCTCTTGCTGTGTGGTGGGGATGGGTACAGCAGGGTCCGAGAGGGATACAGAGGGGCTAGAGGATAAGCCACCAATCTCCTCAAGGTTCCTCTTCATGGCCGCCTCTACCACCACCACTCGAGTGTCCTCTTGCTGCGCGGTGGGGATGGGTACAGCAGGGTCCGAGAGGGAGCCAGGGGATAGGGCAGCAATCTCCTCGGGATTTTTCTTCATGACCGCCTCTACCACCACTCGCGTGTCCTCTTGCTGTGCAGTGTGGGGACGGGGATAAGTAGAGAGGTAGAGAGGAGTGGAGAGGAGTTAATAAGCCACCAATCTCATCGGGATTCCTTTTCATGGCCGCCTCTACCACCACTCGAGTGTCCTCTTGCTGCGTGGTGAGGGGGGGGGGGGGGGGGGGGGGGGGGTATGGGTAGCAGCAGGAGGGAGGCAGGGAGTGAGGGAGGGAAATAGAGAGGAGTTGATAGGCCACCTGTCAGGAATCAAGATGCACGCGCAATCAGGGGGTGGGAGGGAAGAGCACATCCCTTCAAGGTTCCTCTTCATAGCGTGTAGTGAGTCGAGTTTTGAGCCG